TTTTTCCATATCCTTGTGACATGGAGATAGTAATGAAACGTTAACACTATCTTTTTCCATATCCTTGTGACATGGAGATAGTAATGAAATTAACACTATATTTTTCCATATCCTCGGACATGGAGATAGTAATGAAACGTTAACACTATCTTTTCCCATACCCTCGGGACATGGAGATAGTGACGGTGAAAGGGGTTATTGTACATTTTTTGGTACACCCTATTTTATTTATTTTTTTCAGTGTTCTTGGGAAACACTGGCGAGGAGAGAGTCTTATGACTTATTGTTGCTGTCAGCTTTGTTCAAGAAACCAACGGAAACCACGCGACGTGTGGATACGTTTTACGGTTTCAACAGGCGAACGACAGATCGATTTCACCGGCCCCCATTTACGTTGTGTCCACTCCTTGGTTCTCGGCTATATCTTGAGTGCATTTTCGACGAAGATCCATTCAAGTAAAAAAAAAAGACGGAATCAAGATATTAACACGGTTGGCCACGCGACCAATTTTCCGTGATTGTCCCTCATTTTGCGACATATATATATTTTTTTTTTCTTGCACTATCATCCAGCAAGCGCCTGATCCACGCGTGCTATGACGAACAGTGCATGAGTAAAATGAGTTACCAGTTTCCGTGACACATCGGTAAACTGTTTTGTAGCCAAAAAGTTTTTTTTTCCCAGGCATGGTATATTAAGCTATCAGTTTCAAACTGTTTTGTAGCTGAAACCATGTTTGCTATTCAACTGCGTGAACACAATCTGGGTATGGCCACCCTAGAATATATCTGAACGGAAGAAATTATTTTCTGTCAGAATCATGCAGGAGATAAAGCATCTTTGATTTTTAGTTTGATTTCTGTACTTTTGCTATGGACCACATCTTCAACTGAGCTTGACGAACTCGTGTTTTCTCAACACGGAAAATCTGACTCAGACACGGTTGAAGATGTTGCAACACAGCAGTATGACAACACTTCCAACACCTGTTTCCACGTATGTATGTATATCGTCCAAGGCCTCTAGAAACGCCAAAATGCATCCTTAGCAAAGATGAATTTGTAGCGCATAAAGGGGGGGGTGATGTGGATGACAGGTGTAGAAGTGCTGTAACCATTGTTGTTGCACATACAAAAGTAGGACCAAGATACGATCCGAACGGAGGATCTTACTGATGGTTGATCAGCAAGATACCCGACTGTGGATGCCTCCCTCTTGGCGCCACCTGTGGAGCTTGGGAATCCGAGACCCTCGGGCTTGGTCTCCCTCGCCCCTTCGGCGGCACTCTCTTTCTTGTCTCTCTCTTCTGAGACCCTCTCCTCTCTAAATCTCGACGAAGAGAACTGCCAGCGCTTAGTAGTGGGAAAAGACTACTGCGACCTGAGCCTCCCCCCCTAACGAGGGAAGCCTGTGTCCTCACAGTGTTGTTTTATATTCTGACGCCCTTTGCATCCGACATGTTCGCTTACCTGTTTTTTGTTTTAATTGTCTCCGGACACAAACCTGGACGCGAGCTCGGCGTCATTTGCGGACGACTACCTCGCAGCACACAACGGACAACAACCCGACTGGGTCATGACGAGCCCCTGTACAAGGGCGCGCTGGCCTTTGTCAAGGCGGCGTTGACGGTGGCGAAGGAAGGCGTGGCGCTGAAATTGCCGCTGTCGTTTCTGGAACCCTGTGCCGACCGAGCAGGTTGGCTTCAGGCGAACCCCCCGGCGCTATGCATGATGATGAGCAGGACCCGGTACCATCCCGCCCACTTAAGGTTTAGCGAATTTTGGGGTGTGTGGTACCTCCTGGTAGTGCCTCTTGTACTAGTGATAGCACGAAGCTTTTATTTCTTCCTAGTTAGAATGGGTTGTTGAGAGTCCGGGAGGACGAAATCGCGCATGTTTTTTTTTTGTGTGTGTTACGCTTAGGCCACTTGTTACGCTGTCTCTTTTTGGGCTGTCCCTTTTCTCAAAAAGNTGGCAAACACCGGGGGGGGGAGGGACAGGATGGGGTGATCTTTTTTCGCTGTCCCTTTTCGGGAGGTTCAAAAACGCAAAGAAAGACCACGTAACAAGTGGTTTTTGGTCAGTTGTCCCTTTTTGAGAAAAGGGACAGCCCAAAAAGAGAAAGTGTAACAAGTGGCCTTACAATTACGTCACTCTTCAGCTAATCTTAGGTGTCTTGCGGTAGACCCCACAAGCCGATGTTCTGACATTGAACGGTAATGCGCACGAGCACCTCGTGAGTGCGATAGGAATGAGGGAAATGCACCACTGCTGCGACTGCGCGATTTTCCGGCAACACGTACCCGACTCGAGTATACGGGGGTCAGTGTCTGTCGTTGTCGGGTGGCGAGGACGCTCTCGTTCGAGTGCCGTCGTTTCTCATTGACCTTTTCGGCAGCTTCCCTTTCTGGGTTCGCGGCGCACGGCGCGCTGGCCGCGGCATCGGAGCGTGGGTGCCTAATTTCGTTTTGTGTGCACTACCAAAAGTAGTTGTACCGGGTGGCGTCACGTGAAGAACTGCCCCAAATATTTGTTTGCAGTGCTTCGGGATCTGCGTCCTGTTGTTGACATATTTGTAGCAAGGAATACAACGAAATATTATCAATTATCAAACGGACATCTCCTTAACCGGCTCTGCCATATTATCGGTCGACAACATCACCCGCTGCTGCGTACCCCCGCCCAACCCTTCGTTGGCGAGTTGTTCCTCGTACTTTCGCGCATCTTCTTCGGAGAATCCACACACACCGCAGTGCACCCCAAACGACGAATGCCCTTCTTGGTCGAAACCACCGAAACGTTCCACCATTGGCGATGCTTCATCTTCATCAGACTCGGACTCGCTGCCACTATCATCATCGTCCGGCAGTACCTCCTCAGGAGTAGACCCTCGCTGCACCCTGGGTAACGTGCTTTGTTCCTCAGGGCATGCAAGGTTGCACTTGNCTGCTGCGTACCCCCGCCCAACCCTTCGTTGGCGAGTTGTTCCTCGTACTTTCGCGCATCTTCTTCGGAGAATCCACACACACCGCAGTGCACCCCAAACGACGAATGCCCTTCTTGGTCGAAACCACCGAAACGTTCCACCATTGGCGATGCTTCATCTTCATCAGACTCGGACTCGCTGCCACTATCATCATCGTCCGGCAGTACCTCCTCAGGAGTAGACCCTCGCTGCACCCTGGGTAACGTGCTTTGTTCCTCAGGGCATGCAAGGTTGCACTTGCACAACTGTGAACAACGACCTGGACCACCCCTTTGCATGCAAACGCAGCCCCTACATTGACCCTTCACCCTCTCGGATGAACATCTGCACGACACGATGTGAATTCCTACACCCGCCCAGAGGGCCACCCTCGGCAATTTACGCAACAAGCAAAGCCCCCCCTTCGCACTCCGGATTCACAATGTACCCCTTGCCGTTCCAGTCGGGAATTTTAATCGGATACCTGGCGGACACATTTTCGGAAGGGACGGGCACAATCGAGAGCCAATACTCCACCACCCATGCCATGCGTAGCACGCAGTTGTTAATAACGTCGTAATTTGGGGCAGCAGCCTAATGTCCCACTTCCCAAACAGTGTTCGGTCGTGCGCTCGCTGATGGCCTGGACCGATGGCCCTACGTCATCGACCTGCCCTTCCAGGTATTCCGACCTTGCCTGGCGTCCCGGAAGGACGTTCACAAAGAGTTTGTGATGTTTTTTAAAGTACGCTATCGAGGCAAACTTCCCGATTTCCTCTTTGACCAGGTCTACCCCAGATATCGACCCCCCCCTCACGTTGCTCGGAACCCAGCGGTAGAACAAAATGGTGGTTGCCCATCCTTCAACGCGTCGTAGTATGCTTGGAACATACTCGATGTCGTCAAGCCATTGAGCGTTGGAGTAAAGTCAGTCCCGTTAAGAACGTATGCGAAGATTATCGGAAGCACCCTCTGCAAGTTGGTGAACGAAGATGGCCAATTTCGCATTGCCGTTAGATCTTGGAGAAGCTTCAGGACGTCGATGCCATGGGCATGGGTGTTACCGGTCACCCCGCTCTGTTGTCGCACGATGATACGCACATCACGAGTCGACGGATGCACGGCGTACGCCAGGAGAGCTGCGATCCAAACGTCGGTGTCAACCGAAAATACCTGGTTCATGCAAGTAGGGGTGCATGAATTACGTCTGAGTTTTCAAACATACAAGCGCGATATCTCAGCCTGGGACGGACACTGACACCATATGAGCGTACGACGCGATAAGTCTTCCGAATGGCTAGATGAAACACAACTGACGTTCAAATTCGGAGTTGATGTTAGAAATTCATTTCTGAAGAATCCAAATATGATGGGCCAAAATGTGCTACCGTAGCAGGACTCACCTCCACTATCACGGGATCTTTGCTTGTAGGCACCACCACCCCACCCTCTCGTACCTCCCCCCCCTGCCCTCTGCTTTCTTTGTTGTTCTTCCCCGCCATGTACGCGTGGTGGAGAGCCTGGAGCTCACCCTCCCCAATACCGTTGGCCTCGAGAAGTATTATGTCAAGCTCCTTCGTATTGTACCACGACACATAACTCTCTGTCCGCGAGTAGTCGCTGGACAGAACAGGCTCCCCGTCGACCTCCAGCTAGAGTCGTTGAAGGCACGACTCCCCATATTCCAACCCCACGCCGTCTGATGTCTTTTTGCGGATTGTATCGTACTGGTGACGGATGAACTTGCACAAAGCCGAAAATACACCGTCACGGTGCTGCCGGTCCTCGAGAAAAGTCTGCCATTCAGCCGCGTCCGGCGTCTTATCTCCTATCTCAAAACCCGTGGGCGCTTGCGTGAACAGAGGTTGCGGCGGAGCGCGTGGCTTCTTCTTCGAGTGTAGCCTGTGGTTCTTCCTCTTGGCGCCAGCGTTTGCGCCGGCGGACTGTCCCCGTGTCACGTGTGCAAAACTCTTCGGGGTGGGTACCAACTGCCGCTTGTCGAAACAAAGAATCACCCGTCCTGAGATATTCCCCTCGCTCGAGCACAGATGCCACAACAAATTAGACATCACATGCTCGGCATACTTATACCAAGTAGGAAGTGGCGGCCTCCTCCCGCGTGCACTGGCTGCCACACCCAGCGGCGATTGAGGGTAGATTATCGTCGCCATGTCAACGACGCACGTGTGTGGTGTGACCAAAGTTGACCAGGTCGGAAGCAAGCTCCGCCGACACACCGTCCCTAACGTCCCCGGAGAGTAGTTTCTTTATTTTCGTGTGTTGCCAAGTCCAGGCAGACATGTCAACCGAGCAACGAGGATGTTGTGTCCCCAGGCCTTTCCTTGCTGTCACGCGTGGAAGGTCTGCAAATGCATACTATAGTAGTAAACAGACCAGTGGTGATGAAAAAATATGCCTTACACCCTATGGGAACAACCGAGGCCTTAACAACTTAACTCGATTTTAGGTTTTGCATTTGAATTTCGTCAAACATAAGAATCGTCCGCGTTCATTTCAACTTCTGTTGCATCTTCATGCCACCTCCGGTCGTGTTATTGACCGGGTCAGAGAATCAGGGCTGAGGGTAGGTGGTTTCTTACGACATGCAACAGACACAGGCCCACGTATGTACATGTACCACCCACCACGGAACATTTTGCACTCTTTCAACAATCGGTGAACCAGTGGTTCACGCAGGAGAATATGAGCGACTATTATTGTGGGCCCTCACATTGCATACGCAAGTTGCCGTCGCAACTGCCGATTGCAGAAGCAAGTGTGTGTGGCGTGAGGAGCGCAGCGGTGACGGTGTTTTTGTTTGTTTGTTTTTNCATAGGAGGGGGGGGTTGGACCCCCTCCTGCGGTTCATGCCTGAGGTATTTTTATCGCGAGAAGGGTACAGCAATCCCTTCCCTCGCGACTTACGAAGTCGATTATGGTTTACTAACAAACGAGCTTTGCAGCGCGTCGCTTTCATCCTAGACCAGGGTTTATCTAGTGAGAAAAAAACTCTCTCTGCCGGGACTCGAACCCATGACCTGCCCCTTAGCAGGTTGCGAGGCTACCCACTAGACCACCCCCGGGGCGACCAGTATGTGCTCGAAGGTGTGCTCGAAATTCAATTATTTTTTAAATTTTGTACTACTCAGAAATCTCCCTTCTTCCCCTCGCTCCTCGACAAGCTTTTGCTTAGACATGGGTT